TATTAAATAATAAGTTTTAATATTTAAAATATTTAACTTAGTTAATTAAAGATTTTTATGATTTATAAAAAAGTAATTAATTTTTATATTTTTATATTATTTTTTTGTTTTTAAGTTATTTTAATTACAATTTAGAAGCTGTTATAGATTATAATACCTTTTTAACTTTTTTAAAGTTTGTAGAAACTATAAAATCTATGTTCAATAGGCGGTGTGAATTTTGTGACAGCCCAAGACTCTCTATGAGGACTAGAAAGATAGTTGACACTCGTTTTTTTATCTAATGTAAGTCATGTCATAAAAAACAAAGTTTATTTGCTGATATTTTCTTTTGTTATGAAGAAGGAAAATCACGACTTGTTACATCAGTTCAAAAACTAGTAAAACTTATTTTCATTTATTTCGAAAAGAAAACAGTATCTTATATAATGACCGTGATTCAAATTAAAGGAACTGATATAGTTACTAACTCAGTTAATTACATCAGATTAGAAGTTTGTAATCATATCATTTTTGAAAAATTAGGAAACCCGGGGAGAGTTGTACAAATAGAAAAGTCTCTTTTTAAAGGTCGAAAATACAGCAGAGAAATAACTATTCTTGTTTACTATATGTAAGTAATGAGTTAAACAACCAAAATAAAAAAACATTGGTAATGGAGTTGACGGGTTTTGGAATGACAAATTAGGGTTATAATAAAAATAAGATGTTTGCAGTAAATAAAAGAGTGAGTGACACTTTATTACCACTAAGTTTAAACCTATGGATAAATAAACTATCTTTTTTTAGATGGTTGGAGAGCTTACCATGTGCTAAATTATTGTTTTTATAGACATAATATGGTTAACCAAGGCGAAAACTTTATAACCCCAACAACTGGTTGTAATACTTAGTTGATTGAATGTATATGGAGACATACACAACTTAAAATAATAAGATAAAAATTATTATTTCTTTTTTACAAAACCACTTGAGTTTTTTTGCTTCTCGTGCTGATATAGAGGATCGAAAATTTTAGAATTTATGAGATTATTAAGAAAATACAATAAAAAATTATAGGCGACAATCTAACTGAGAATTAAATTTATAAAATAGAGCACTCGTCCAAATACTACTAAGATTTGTGTTTAAATCAATCTTAAGAGATTAAAAACCATTATACTTTAATCTTTAAATATCAAATAGAATAAATAAGATTTTAGTTTTAATCATTAAGTTTATTAACTTAGATTATAAAATAGATAAAATTAAAAGGTTGACTTTAATAATAATTTAAATTATTTAAAAACTTTAAGTTATTTATTATCATTAGAAAATATACTCTTTATATTTAAAACATAAAATTAATAAAATTGTTTAAAATTTAAATTATTTAAAAGTATAAAAATGTTTTTAAAAATTATAAAGAGCAAGTAATTTTAATTTTAAATACTATTTGTTTTGAATTAATTATTTTAATTACTGTTTTTAACTAAATCATTAGAAAAATTAGGTATCCATAATATTATATAAGAAAATCTAATTATCTCATTAATACTCTTAATTAACAAATAATTATTATTTTCTAAAATAAGTCTTAGACATCCTCCTACTTTAATTAATTTTTCATAATTTTCAATCACTTCATTAACTTGTTTATCATAGACACTTTTCATGAATATTTGAAACACATCTAAAAATTCATTTATAAATATCTTTTTTTCTAGATTTTTATTTTGAGCAATAAAATTATATAAAGGTTTTAATAATTTACTTTTATATTCTATCTCATAACCTTTTTCAAATTCTTTTGTTTTTAAAAAACTTTTAAAG